CGTTGGTACCGGAGTTGTGTGCGGGAACCAGCGGGGCGTGGTGCAATTGACACGCCCATAAACTGCTGAAACAGCGGGCTGAGGAGTTCAACGTGCATGGGAGCCAGTGGGCGGTTAACCCACGAGGCGGAAGAAACCTGAGTGGCATGACGTCGTGGGCCCTCCGCACGTGCACCATCGCCAACCACGATCTGCCGTGGGAACTGCGTATGGGCACATTGGTGGGGCCAGTTCCGGTGCTGGTGCTGATTTTGGAACCGGCGTTGAGGCCCGCCGACTAGTACAATTAGTACACCCACGACCTCCCGTGAGAGGTACGCGTATGAGCATACCCGTCGGGGCCCATGAGGGACAACGCTAGTCACACAAATTTTGCCGAAGTCCGGGATGCACCATTGGTGTGCCCATTTTGTCAGCAGCCTGTGGAGCTGCAAGGCAAGGGAAATGCCCTGTTTATTTTTATTTATTTAATTCGGGACCCGAAGTTTTTTCGCACAACTTATGGATGGTGCCGTGTGACCAGCAAGGGACCAAATTGCTGTTTCCTGCAGACGGCCGGGGCCGTGTCCCATCCGAAAAAGGGACAGCAGTGTGTGACCTGAACCATGTCCAAAACCTCAAATTGGTCGTCCCAGAGTTGGGGTTGCAATGTGACCATGGCTGTGGGGACCTGCAGTGTGAGTATACCCTGAGCATACCCGGTGGGACCAAGAAGATGGTGAACTACATTTGGCCGGGGTGAGGACCAGCGGGCACCAGAGCAAAGGCTGTGTACCGCTGGTCACACGGAAGCCCACCCCATTCTGCTATTTTATTTTATTTTATTTTCGTTTGATTATTACTTATTTCTACCCTTTGGTTTCAGTTCGGGACGCGGCCGAGGCATTGATACCGGGGGCTGGCCATGCAAATAGCGGGCCTAGCTCTGTTGGCACGCTCACAAACTGCTCAAATACAGGTCCAGCCCCGGGCCTGATCTTGCACAGCCTCGTTGTGGGAATTACTTTTGGTCCTTCGGGACATTCGTAAAAATTGGAATGATACAGAGAAGATTAGCAATGCCCCTGTTCAAGGATGGCACGCATAAAGGAAGACGAGCGGGCACTTATTCTTGGGCTTTCTTGTTTTCCTTCCTACGAGGCACTGCTGTAGGACCGGACGTTGCAAACTGCGCTGTGGGATGCGTTGCTGTTGTAAGCTGTGATAGCAAAGAGCATGAGGGAGGGCGAACATGGTTGGCGAACAGCGTGAGGTGCGTGCACAGCGAGGAGCTGGATGACGCGGCTATGGGGGTGTAGGTAGGATAGGAAGGAGTGAGTCGGGAAGTAGGGTGCAGCACTAAGAAAATGAGTGAGGAAGAGGGGTGAACTTAGGCAGGAATATGCACTAGGTGCGTTCGAATTTGGAGATGGCGGGAGGGGCAAACGCTCTCCGCGACAAGTCCTACCAAATCCTGCGTGACGCGACCGGGAGGGTCCCCGCGCGGGACCGATGCGCTCGACAACGCATGGAAGGTCAGCGCCCCAAGTATCAATTCACGCACATGTTCAATTCGGGCACTTATCGCACATACCATCTATGCTACAGAGAACGAGAAACATCATCGGCTAATCCACCTCTGCGACTGCATGTGAAAACTCACGTATGTGGGTCAGTAGCTCGACGGGGATACACCCACTTAAGAGATGGTGACAGATAACAAAAGTGGAGGTTTTTTACCCCGCATAATGCTATCTTCAGGCTGTCGTAGGGGTTCGCAAGAGATATGGCTGACATACTTGGCCGGAGCGGTACAACTCCAAAATGCTTTGCATCCTAAATTGCCAAAATGTTGCGTGACGCGGCCGAGAGGGTCGCCGATAGGTGGTGTCGTCCCGGGGGATCTCGGGTGCCTACCAGATCCTAGAGAATGAACCCAGACCATTGGCAAGTTTATGATCCAGGCAAAACAACAATTCTATTTTGATCAGACTGATGTGTTAATGATGAGGTGATAAGTTTGTTGATTATATTTTATCGAGAAAGAGTATGGATATATGTGATCAATACCACTTGTATATCATGATGCCTACAGTGATAGTTGCTCGTAGAGTTTTGTGGATCTTGGTATCATAACTATCGAGCATCGGTGTTGCAGGGGGACCCTCCCAGCCGCGACACGCAGGATTTTGCACGACTTCTTCGCTGTGAAGTTTTTACCGCTTCGGCCAAGTGTGCCAGCCACAACTCTCGCGAATCCCTACGACAGGATAGGGGTCACGCGAGTGAAAAATTCACCTCTGCCCAAAGGGTTGTCGCCACCCTTGGACAGGCTTACCCCTGCCGAGCTATCGAACCACGTGCGAAAGTTGCTCGAGTGCAATCGCAGAGGTGACCCAACCGAGGGCGTTTCTCGTACATTGTAGCATGGGGGGTAACCGTGGTCGAACACCTTAATCGAACCCGTACGCGAACCGACATTATAGGGACTTCTCTCCCAAGCACGACTTTCCGCTGGTCGACCAAGACGGTCCAACTAACCACGCGATGCACTTCACCAAGATAAAACCAAACTCCAAACGTAAATCGCGCCTCGTCCTTTTTTCGTATCCTATCCCTAACTTATTAACAATACAAAATAGGTGACCATTGCGTGTAAAACTCTAAATAAATATTGAAACGACACACGCTTCGTCATATCGATCAGTCGTGCATGAATGTGACGACAATTGTGAGGATGACGTACTATGTGGTACCCATAATCATGCGGCCTTCAATGATTTTGAGGGTCATTTTAGACACTCAAGTGCCGGCTGACATACGTCTTGAGTGGTTAATCTCTCGATGCTTGACAATCGCAAGTGCGATTGCGGGACCTACCCTCTTTTGCACACTACGGTGAGCAGTGGCAGGCGACCTTTACCCTTTAGTGTCGATCAAACGCCTCTGACCCTGAAACCGGGGTTCCATCTTCGGAGGCCTGAAAACAAGTGAAGGTGTTTGACTTCGACAGTCGTCACGAGCCTCAACGCCAAACTGTAAAAAAATATAAAAAACAGTTGTACAAAGGGAATCTCCCTTTTCTCAATTCAAATTTATTCCCTACGCACAACCAAAGTAGACCGCGTGGACACAAAACATAAACGTAATCGGGGTTAAAGAGCACAAGGCGATCACTCTCACAATCATAGTGTGACACCCTTTACAATATACACATGAAGATGCAAAGCTGATTAATAACTTTGATCCTAAGTTATACACTGATTACCCTAGGCCTTTGCTTCCTTTCTACCTCATCGATACTTCTTACTAGGGTGAATTGGTTGACTTGGTCAAGAGGTATCTCCAAAGCATAAGTTGGTTATGAGACATTGACTTAGTCATCAAGGTTCACCCATCTTCAACGAGGGGTCTTTTTGAGGCCATCTCGTCCTGCTCTATAGAAAGAGTTTTGTGTTATGCTTGACTTTCAAATTTTGGTTCTCGGATGATCTTGTTCGGAACTCGTGGGCTTTAGATGCTTCTACATCTCTACACCACAATCTCAAGGAGTACGCAGACGTGGCTCAAGGCGTTCATGAAGCATAGTAAAAAAAAAGACTAAATATGAGACTTGAGAGAGGGAAAAGTGAGAACGTTTGGCGAGCGCTGGCCATGTCTATTCATTTGAACTTTATGAGATTATTACGAGTTCCCACCTTCCCTTTTTTATCTTGTCTTTGCCTTAAGTCAGACAATCCTGATTCATTTTTGTTTATGTTGCTTGATGTCATACTCTCTGTTGATTTTTTTACAGTTTTCAAATTGCTAAATTGACAGACTTGATACGTGTATGACATATTTAATTTTAATCTTATTATTTGCATCTTTTGTTCCGAATCATAATTGAGGATTCCTAAGATCGGGGACTGGCGTAGACCATAATTGAAGGGACTCGTTTGAAGCCAGACGACCACAATAGGAAGAAATTTGCATTAATTAATTATTTATTTATTGAAAAAAAATCATCAAAATTCTACGTGAGAACCTCTTGACTTTCTGATCATCGACAATGGTTTGTTTGAAAAAGTGCGACAACATGCGCTCAGTGTGTGAGTGGTATATGCACCTAAGATACTTTTGAGACAACCAAGACCAGACAACATACTACGAGGGGAATGAAATATCTAAACTACAATTACTACCAAGTGAATGAAAAATTGATCCCTAACGAGGGTGAAAGTTACATTTATGGGAACAACGATATGTATCATACAAAGGAAGTTTAGCAGCGCTACCGGGAGCGGTGCGCCCCACTTGGGCCGAGGCAACGGGGAGCGGATGCGCGTTGGGGTAGAAACCACAAACTGATTAGCGTATGCGCGACAACTTAGCGGAAGGCGGAGATGGCGCGTCGCAAGACTTCCATTGAGGCGAGGCATAAGGGGTGTAGGTGGTGATTGCCATGTAGGGAAGGGCGAAAGGTAGATTGGAGTGACGATGTATGGGGCGAGGACATTTGGTAGGGTAAGACAAGTAATGGAGGGCAGGATGCCACGTGGCATGGGTGGGTTGTTGGGGTTGCAATGGAAAGAAGAGAGAGCGTGTATATCAAAGAGAGGGAGGGCTATGAGTGTCGTGGGTTTTCTCTTCTCCTACCTCTACCACTATTCTTTGTCTCTTGCTTGACGTTGTCACTCACAACGCAATCGCCTTCAAGAAGTTCTGTTAATCTTTTATGGCCAGTGCACTTCGCCAAAGGGCTGCACCAACACTGGCTATGCAGAGGAGAAGGTGCTTCTCTTGCAGAAAGAGGCAGGGGATGAGTTTGGTCGAGATAGCGGTCTCGCAGTTGGATCAGGGGATGGCGGGAGTGGAGTGTCTCGTGATGATCCACAGGGTTTGGTGACTTCACACAGTTCAAAGCAACTTCACGAGATGATGGGAGCTCTGCGTGCAGCAGCTTGTCGAATTCGTTATCCTATGTACCGCTCTAAATCCTCGAGTTTAAATAGTGTGTTCTGATTTGGTTGTTCAAGGATAGTCGGTTTAACTTTTTATTACCTGTTTGTTGCGTAGCACGGCGATCGTGTTCGCGGATCTTCCCGTTCGGGCGAACACGTTCTCCCGTTCGCGCGAACGGGTCGTGAACACGTTCACGAGAACGTGTTCTCGAGGCCCGCGAACGGGTTCCTCCCGGGCCGGTACCGGTTGAAGGCGGGGGTTCGGAGGGCCTGAGGGCCGGTGGTCGTCTGTGTGGGGGGGGCGCGGGCGCGGGAATCGGGTCCAGGGAGAGGAGCTGGGGGGGAAGGGTCAGTTTCGAATTCGAATCGAAACTGCCCTCGCATCGCCCCGCGCTCCAGCTGCTGCCATGTCCGGCACCCATAGCTATCAGGTAAGTCCCCGCGGCCCCTCGTCGTCCTCCTCCTCCTCCTCCTCCACCTCCTCCCTCTCCTCCTCCTCCTCCTCCTCCACCTCCTCCCTCTCCTCCTCCTTATGAACTCCGACCGTCGTCCCGCGGCTGCCACGTCAGCACGGTCGACATTCTTTTCCTTCTTCTTCGTCTTCTTTTCCTCCTACCCCTCCTCGTCGTCGTGGTC